TGGTTACAGAAGAATTAAGAATAACAAATAAAGTTGCTGTCAGTTTTGAGTTATGCTTTAGAGTGTGGAGAAACTGAAACCCTTCTGCAGCCATTTCACAAATAAAACTGTAGTTAATCAAATGAACTTTACAGGTTCAGAGAAAACAGTTACTCAAAAAGAATCAGAGATTAGTTGTGTACAAGCTCCTAATTAATTTGTTTCTAGTTTATTAACAAAGAAAAATATATACCGTCACTCTGTATAGATCCTTACAAATCACTTAGTAAAATTCAATACCTATTCCTGATTTAAAGAATAAAGGGACTAATGAAAAAAGTTTAGTAAGCTAGGACTACAAAGAGGCTGATTTAACTTGATAAAGTGCTTCTATCATAACCCACAGGAAGCATATATACCATTTACACACACACACACACACACACACACACACACACACACACACACACACAGAAGAAACATTCCTATTGTAACTTTGATTATCTGATTCTAATGTTCCTGGAAGAGTCAATGCATTTGAAAAGCCAGAGTCATTTAACTTTGAAAAAAATCTTGTTTTTTACTTAAAAATATAAATCAGAAGAGAAGTATCCTATAAGTAACTAAAATTCAGAGTAACAGCATGATAATTTACACAGGGTAGCAAGTGGTGCAGGGCAGATTTATATATCAATAAATCAACATGTCTATAAACCCACCCATGTACTAATATAAAGGAATTTAGTATCTAATGAGGATGCATTCCAAATTATGGAATGATGAAAAAGTCAAATATAATGATTGTCTATTTTCTGAAGAAATCTTCTTCTATCTCATATACTATGAATGAAAATATATTATCAATTATTTCTTTCCAAAAAGTCTTAGGAAGAAAATAAATGAGATTAACAGGACACCAGCAAACAAAACAAAACAAAAGCAAAAGGAAGACAAGATGGGGTTATGACAATAAATCAAAATATTTGTGCTTATGTGTGTATATGTATGGGGTGGGGGGAGGGCAGCAGCACATATCTTTGTGAAGGAGCCAGAGCTGACCTCAGAGTCAGTCTCAATCAAGTTTCACCTTAGATTTGAGACAGGGTCTCTCACGGTACCTGGAGATCACTGCCTGACTCCACTGGCTGGCCAGTGAGCCCTGAAGGTCTTCCTGTGTGCCTTTCCAATTCTGATTACCAAGTGACTAACTTCTGTGCTTTTTAGATGGGCGCTAGAGACCTAAACTCAGGTCCCCAGGACTTCACAGTAAACTATCGACTGAGCTCTCCTGTCGGTCCCTTTAAAACATGTTTTATGGTAAAAGATATCAAGATCAAAGTGAAAACGTAAGTAATGATTACAACAGTATACTAGTATTCTAAAAACAGCATGAAAATAGCAAGAAGAATACTGGCAAAGATCAATAAATAAATTCAAGATAAGAAGATACAAAGGGCCAAAAAATAAACAAAATAAACCTTTCAATCAAGTTCAAGTTCCATTTAAATAGGAAAGAAAAAAAAGCAAAGTATAGATCAAGAGACTCACTCGTTCAGTACTGCGTAACTACGCAATGACTCCAAAGTACATGTGGCATGACCATGTGTGTGGATGGCCGGGCAAAGTGGACAGTACAACAGGCAGGGCCGTTCATGTTTCAGCCCTGTGTGCGCTTGCTGGCTAGGGGAAAGGGATGGGGACGAAGAGGCTGAAGTTTTCGTAAGACTTGCCCTTCTTTGGAAATATACGTCAAAATAAGTAATTGGAATTTCCTCACCTTTAAAAATTCATCACACCAGAACATGTGACATGATTTAATATGCAGGTTAAGATTATCATTTGACTCAGTAGCAAGCATGACACAGAAATGGTCCTGATGGTACCCACAACCCTTTGAAGATTCCTATAGACTTTTCCAAGGACAGTGCCAGCTACATAGCCCAGGCTGGCCTTAGATTGAGCTCCATTTGCCACTCACCAAAGTGGCTGGAATTATGAGCATCTGTAAGCATCTATCACCACACTTAGGTCATGGAAACTTTTTGATAGAGGACTAGCCAGTCTGAAGTCATCACTCAATAAATAAATATGAACATTTATCCTTTTATGTCTTTGTATTTTTAACCACGTGAAGCTGATGCTTTTTCCAGGTTAAAAAATATTATGTGAGTATTCTGCCTAAATAGTGCAGGTTTTATTTATGAGGATTAATTCCAGGGCTGTGTGCATGCCAGGCAAGCACTCTACCAGCTGAACTACATTTCCAGTCCTAGGGTTTATTATTAGCTTTTAACTTTTGAAGTTGTATTTTGTCCTGCTGAGAGCATTAGTCCCCTAAACATCATCATCAACAATATATATACATATATAAAATCAGCAATATATATAATTAAGATGTATATATTTCAGAGTTCTCAATGGTACTTTAAACCACTACAACACTCTACTACTGTAATCAGAGAGGAGACACTTCCAAATGCTCAGCACTAGAGTATCACTGGGTTTACTCACTATGAAAGACAACACATTTATTAAGCCCACTCCACTTTCTGTCTGGGGAGAAAGACCAAGATGGTCCTATACTGTCTACTTCCAAATTCTCTTAGCCTTAAATTCATACTTCTCAGAAGGGGTTCAACTTTGACAACTGCTGTGAAAATGTTTTAATAGCATCCAACTACGTCACTTTGCTGCAGTGCATTTTAAACAATGCCTTTTAGCTTAGAACTAAATTACAAATTAACAAATTAACTCATGGACAGTTGTGTAAACTGAACAAACATTGCTATTGTCATTGTTCATTAGAGTGTGAGTGTCTATCATCTTGTACAATAAAATGCAATGGATGGATGCTAATATACATATATCAGAAATGAGATTTCAATTTGAAATAGAAAATTTTCTCAAAACCAAACGTCAGTATTAGATCAATGCATCCCTCAACCCCTATCAGAGAAGCTTCTTTTTGCAGTGGATGATGATTAACACAGAGGCAGACGACTGGGCCAAGTACAGAGAATGAGAAACTAGGGAATTCCAGGCCTCAGTGGGACAACTGGATCATTCCTCCTCTTCCCAAGACTCAGGGATCATTGCAGAAGAGGGGGCTCAAAGACTGTAAGAGCCACAGGTAGCGATGACTACCAGGAAACAGTGTCTACTCTGAACTAACAGGGACAGCATGCATGGGACCCGTGCAAGCTTGAGCCAGACTAAATTCTAGCATGGAGGGAAGAGGTAGGCATGGAGTCCCACCTCTAGCTGAGGAGCTATCAGCAACTGAAACTGGGAGAGTCAGTTTTCTTTAAGAGTGGAGCCTCTGATAAGTCAACCGCCCTCCACTGGAAGGCCATACCCTCAACAACATATGGACTTGATGGATATTAAAAAAAAAAGGAAGATAAGTAGGGTGGGTAGGGAAGGGGGTGAATTTGGAAGAAGTTGGAGGAGGGGGTAAATATGATAAAAAAAAACATTGTATGAAAATCTCAAAGAATTAATGACAATTAAAAATAAAATAATAGAAGTACTTTTTGGACATGACTGAGGTTTAATCATTTTGTAAACTTGGTGATATGCCTTCTCTCTTAAAATGGATGATATACTATTTTATCTTTGGCACAGATTTTAGAATTATAACGCTAGCCCTTTTTAATTAAAGAAAGAAAAACAGCAATATAATTCCCTTCCCAAAATGAAGAGCCAGTTTTATCCATTCATCTTATTTATAGAGAGACTGGAAGACAGAACAGGAAATGTTTATCAAGCACTTCCCGAAAACGAATTGCTCCTTAAAGTATAGTAATCACACGTGTCACTGTCATACAGCAGCCCTCTGGTTGTCACAGGTTTGCTCTTGAGAAAATCCCTGTATGACCAGCACCCATGGCAGCCTCCTTGTTGAGCTTTTCTATCCGTCTCACACGATAGGTGATTAGGGCAAATGCTTCCCAACAATTTAGTTAACTTATAGAAAATGGAATCAATCTCCCTTGTTTTGTTGTGATTGAACATTTTCCTGAGCTGCTGTAAATGAACAACAGATAACCACCATTTATCGGATCACTGGGTAGAGTTTGCAGTTTTGATGATTCTGTTTCCTTGTTACTATTAATGAAATATATGCTATGCCCCAAGAAAAAGCAATTGCAGAGGCTGGCCCCCGAGCTCTTGAGATGCAATGAATATTTTGCTCTGAGTGTATGCTATACTCTGTTTCTAAGATCCCAGACGATGGTAACAGTGCTCTTCAGTGTCTAAGAAGTCTTATAGCTCCAGGTCTTGGTCTAAATTGCTGCCAGAGTCCTGGATCTCCCCCTGAAGCAAATAAGTCCTATGGTATTCAGAATGTCAGCAAGATTATTTAGGGTGCCACAACACCCTCAACGTGACAGACCTGAGGGACACCTCACCTCTCTAGAGTCATAGGATTTGGGGATATTTAGTTGAAGAGACCAATGGGAAGTGTCATTTGACCCCATTATCCTGCCAGGCCAAGCAACAGGCATGCCCACCAGGCAAGATATATACAAGCTGAAACCAGTACACAGGAGCAAAGGCAAGTGAGTTGAAGATTTTTTTGTGGCATTCAAGTTTTCTAGAGTTAGTTTTTTTTTTTTTTTTTTTTTTTAGGTTTTTCGAGACAGGGTTTCTCTGTGCAGCTTTGCGCCTTTCCTGGATCTCGCTCTGTAGACCAGGCTGGCCTTGAACTCACAAAGATCCGCCTGCCTCTGCCTCCCAAGTGCTGGGATTAAAGGCGTGCGCCACCACCGCCCGGCTAGAATTAGTTTTTTTCTGATCTATGTATAGAGAGAATTATATGGAATGCTTCATAAAAATAAGCCATCTCTTTTTCCTTTATGAACAGGTTAATTGCAATTAACCTGTGAGAGGAAATGGGACGATGGGGTGAACAGTGCCCTTTCCCAACTCCCGAAGTTAGAGGAACAAAACTGCACTTCTGGAAAGACAGATGGGTGGAGACTGGAAAAACGATTTGGATGCGCCTCTCCGTCACTTACCAAGGTCCATGCTCTTGGAGGTTTTCAGGTTAATTGATTCATGCTGCATAGATGGTATCACAGATCTGAAATTGACATGTTGATCTGGAAAATATACTGTGGAATCCACCTCAGAGCTGTGGAAAGAAGGTATATGTTACATTTAGGTTTAAAGCAAGAGGTAGGGAGGGAGGGAGGAAGATTATGAACGGACATGAAAATATAGAATACATTCCCTCATCATTTTCTCTTCAGCCTGCAGCCATGTATTTTAAACCGATTCTCGATTCTCAGACTTCTCATATGGAATGGAACAATTGTGGCCTATGCATTTTATTCTGCAGTAGAATTTAAGTAAAATGTACACGGGCTAATAACATCTTTTGTTCCTCCGTCTTTTCTGCCAATTGGGACACTGCTGCATGAGTGAGGGGTACTGGGAAGCCCTAACACTTCAAAGGATGCTGCTAGACACTAGCAGAGCCCAAAGTGGGCTAAGAGACTCCTGTGGGATAAGTGGGGCCTTTTAAAGAGCAGCAAAAGGGACGTCTCCTTGAAGAAAACCATCCCGAATGACTGATGGCTGCAGGAGACTGAGTTTTACCTTCTTAGGTGATCTTCAAAGAGTGATGCTAATGCTGAGCAGATAGTCTGGCCATCAATAACACCAAAAGCAAGCCACAGGAACAGCACAGTTGACAATTTAGACACAAATACATTAAATGCCCTTTATGGATTTTTGCTACTTGGGGTCAATCTAAAGAATTTTGCTTCTACTGAACACTCTGTTTTGATTGGGTATTCAGTAGAAGGGATTATATAAAGAAATTTTAGATAATGGCTTATATTCATTTAGAAATAAGTATGGACACACTTTTCGTACATTAAATTGCAACTGCTTTCTCCTCTGTGCTCGAGTTTGCTAAAATGTATATGTGCGACTCATCTCAGCATGACTTTTGTCAGGTGACAAATCAGGATTCTTTGACAATCTGAAAGGACAGAGGGTGGGCTTCAAAGTGTCTGGCATTTTAAAGGACAAACAGCAGCAGCAACGTTAATGAATGTTGATCCCTCTAAATAAATGAAGATCCTCCCAAAAGGCCGAGAAGAACCTCAACTTTCAAACTAAATACACTAGCCACGTTTAATTTTTTTCTTAAAAAATAAATTGTTTATCCTTAATATTTAATATTCCCTGTCAGTAATGGTAAGTAGTAGCCTTGCTGAATGAATAGATGAACCTCCGCTATTGTAATCCAGAGGGTAGAAACAGAATATGTCCTGATAGGTACCATGGAACAGTGCTCAAGAGTCAGGGCCATAGAATACAATGGACCAGTTTACATCCTGGCTCTGCTACTTGCTAGCTGTGTGACTCGGGTAAGTTAATGGAGCTCTCTGCACTTCAATACATAAAAGGAATATAATTATATTGTCCACCCTTCAGTTTCCTCATCTATAAAATGTACAGTAAGAGAACTTCTTTGGAAGGCCATTGTAAAGGTTTAAATAAATTCAGATATGCAAGATACTGAGTGGTTAAAAACTCAGTGTTAGTCATGTTTTAGTATTAATAAGCTCCAAATTATCTTTCCTTTTTATTTCTGTGGGTCAGAGTGGTTTTGGAATGAGGGCTCAGGGTTCTCTCCAATGCAAAGATTATACCTATTTTCATGGAAACTATGCAGACTAAACTTTATTTAGTGTTACAAAGATTCCAGGGGGTTTCTTTCTTGCTATCTGGGTGCATTGTCAATAGAGGAAGTGCTATAGATCTGATACCTTGTGATGGCAGAGTATGCCAATTGTACCCAAGAGTCCTTGACTTGTCTAGTGTTACTTAGGCCTATGTGGTGTAATGAGAATACCCCACTTTTCCTATTAATTTTGCAGAATTCAGAGACACCACTGAGATCACGAGCTTCCATTAGGCTTTGGAGCTGTGGCAGCATGTGTCTTTATGTGTGTTACTCATCCTTTATTTTCACATAAGATTTTATGTTTTGATCATGTGTGGGGATGCAGGTTTAATGTCAGCAAGACACATGATCTTTACAGATTCAAAGGCTTGAGATAGAAGGGATTAAAGGTCACCCACCCATCACATAAGAGTCTAAGGCCCAAAGAAGGGGACTGATGGTCCAAGATCACATGGTTGCTCAAGGGCAAAGCTAGAACCTGAGTCACAAGCTTGGGTTCAAATCCGAGCTTGAGCACACCAACTCCTTCCCTTTTACATTGAAGATCTGACCAGCCTCCTAAGTAACTTGCATTTTAGGTTTGCTTTTGTGGATGTGATGAAATAAGAGAAAGCCAAGCAGTTAATGGAAGCAGATGCTGTGCATTTTAATAAGAGCCTTTGGGGAAGATGTTTAGGACTAACATGAATATTCCTCTTTAAAACAAAGATCTCACTGCATTTCAAGCGCTCTACTCATGGCAGACTATGGGAATCTACCCAACTGATGAGTGTATTGGTTAATCTAATTCAGCCTCTTAGATTATCTTTTCAGACTTGGCAATAATTGAAATGCCAAGAATAAGAGCTCAAATTCTCTAAACTTTTGCAAAATAATCGTTCTTACCTCCCCCATGCTACAAATAGGGCAGGAGAGACATCTGATACAGAATCAAGCTAGGATCTGCTCAAACAAAGCAAATAGATTTTTATAAAAATATTAGGATATAATTGAGGAAAATAGGATAAATGAAAGCTGTGCTGTACATATGAATGTTGTAAATCATTTACACATATATACATATGTCTGATTACACCCATTAATCTGATGTTATATACATCTGTTACCATTATGTTGAATGTGTCCAAATGCACAGTTTGAAAACGTTCATTTAGCAGGATCCCTATTACCATCGTACAAAATGGAAATGCAAAATAAAGCTGAAGTCAGATTGGCAGATATTTAAGGATGGAAGTGAGGGTAATGTAAGATGTGATGGGATTAGAGCCAATGTCAGCAGATAGCACACTGAAATAATGAGTGTAGTATTGAATTAGTTAATGTGAAAATTTTTGGGCCATGTAAGTTAGACGGGTACAATCGTTTGCGATTTTATCCTACACATTGAAAGCATTTGGAGTGAGGGTGACACAATGATTAGCTATAAAATATGACATATTTTAATTTTGAAGGAAGTTAGCATGTGCTCATGGCTGAGTGGGCTGCAGTGGGAAGCTGGAAGTTGACAGCAGGCCAGAGACATGTCCTAGATAAAGGCCGTGTTTTCAGCATGAACAACCAGGGAATCTCTCAAATAGAAATGATACTCTTGTCAAATTATGCTGCATAATGAATAAATAAGGGCAGCAAGAAACATATGCCGTTGTCCTGAAAACGGTGACATACCAGGAATGTGAAAGACACAGAGGAGTCAGGAGTGGATGTTCAAGGAGAACTCTCTGGAGGCAAAAGAGAGGGAGGGAGCTTTAAAGGAGGGAAGATTTGTTTGGAGCATCAGGAGTCTATAACTTGTGTATGTATGGGGGGATATGACTGGGAAAACATGAATAATAAAGGAATAACCAAGTGTTTTCTTATTTGGTAAGAATATCATATTAGTTAGGGTTTCTCTTGTTGTGGTAAAACAGCATGACCAAAAACAACTTGGGGAAGAAAAGGTCTATTTCATCTTTACAGCACATAGTCCAGCATCCAGGGAACTGATGCAGAGACAATGGAGGGGTGCTGCTTAATGGTTTGCTCCCCAACGCTTACTCAGTCTGATTTCTCATAGCACCTACGACCACTAGCCCAGAGGTGGCACCAACCCCTGTGACCTGGACCCTCCCATATCTACCGTGAATCAAGAAAACAGGTCTACAGACTTGCCTACAGGCTAATCTTCCGGAGGCCTTTTCTCAGCTGACAGTCCCTCTTGCTAAATAACTCTAGCTAGTGTCAAGCTGACAAACTCTCAACACATTTTGTTATTGTTTGGCTTTAACCACTTATTCAGACTTCACAGCAAAAACACATTTCTCATATATTTTGTTTTTATTCAGACACACATATTCTAAACTTCTCTCTTCCATTATAACATTGCTATAACAGAAATAAAGATGTCCTGTTGTTTCAAAGAACAGGCATTAAATATGATCAAATTTAGTTTTCCCCCTTTAATACAAGAGAGTTTTTCTGCTTAGAGACTCCACCCCTGAAAGTGCATGTTTCACTTGTAGAGAGCTTTCCATGTTTGGCTTCTTTGCTCAATGTCCCTGGCTCCCTTCCAGTCCTTCCTCTATCCTCACACTCCAAATCCCACTGCTGCTGGTCACCTAGGCAACACACAGCTTGCAGGATGGTACAGGTCACAGGCTCCCAGGAGAGGGAAGAGTTGAAAAGCACTAAGACTTATTTTATCCATCTCAGAAATGTCTCTGTCCCCTTCACCTATATGATTCCTCCTTTCTTTTAGACCCTGCTACTCTGGAGTCTAAGGAGTCTAGTTGGCGGTGGCTTTCCCAACCACAGCTGAAATTGCTCAGGGTTTGACGCTCTAATCCCTGGCACTGAATCATCCAGTGTTTCTCCACTGCTTTCCAGAGAAGTAAGATGCCCGTGGAACATGGCAGAACACCTGCCGTGGATTTTCCCTCCATCTCCCAGTTTCAGCTCCACAGAACACAGGATTCCTTCCTCTCTCAAGACTTTTCTTCTGCCATATCCTTGCCTCATGGGCCCCCTTCATTTTCTGTGAAATCACTCTTTATCTGATGTAACCTTCCTTTGTCTTACAGACAGAGTTGGGCCTCAGTCTTCTGTGCTCCCAGGGCATTATTCACTGATTTCTCCCTCCTAATTAGCTGTGTGTTTATCTTTTTTAGGAGAAAAACACATCTTTTTCTTGACTTTAAAAAGGTTTTGCTTTTTTATTAGCTTACAAGGAGTTAGGTTTTATTATGACCTTTGTCAAACAAAATTTTTGGCTGTTATTTCTCTTCCCCACTTCTTCCACATCCCTTCTCTCCCTGTACGACCCCACCCCACGGCCTCTTCCACTTTTATGCCACATGTGACCTTTGGTACCCCTCATCCCTACCTCGGTACCTCTTGCTCCCCTCTTTAGGTGGCCTATCTGGTGTTATAGTCTATACCCATCCTCACAATCCAAGCCCTTATCTACATGCATACGAACAATGAGAGTTAAGATCTGATTATAAGAGAGTTTGGGTCACCTCACTTAATACATTCTCCAGTTCTACCCATGATCCTGCAAGTTTCCTGACTTTGTCTTCATAATAGCTGAGGGAAATGCATACATATTCATAGATGTGACATTTTCATTATCCATTTTCCTCCAGACGGGCATCTTGGCTGGGTGACACTTCATTGCTTTCGTGAATAGCACAGCAATAAACATGGTTTTGCAATGATTCCATGGCAGGATAGGATCCTTTGGGTACATGGCAAGGGTTGGTTTGGCTGGGTCATGGGGTCGTTCTATTTTCCCAGATTCGTGGGGTTCTATGAATTTTGTTTTTATTAATAAGACCTTCTAACAATTCGTGCAACAGGGTTGGGTGGGAAGGCTGGAGGGTTGGGAGAAGGGAAGAGGGGGATCTGTGATTGGTATGTAAAATGAATAAAAAATTTCTTAATTAAAAATAAAAGAGAATACTCCTCCCTCTTCTCCCTTCTTCTCTTCCTCTTTCTCCTTCCATGAGGCTGTGGCTTGCCTCCACGTTCTCTCTCTCTCTCTCTCTCTCTCTCTCTCTCTCTCTCTCTCTCTCCCTCTCCCTCTCCCTTTCCCTCTCCTTCTCTCTCTTTCTTCTCCCTCTCTCTCCCTCTCCCTCCTCTCTTTCCTCCCTCTCGCCCTTTAATAATAAAACTTTCCATGTGGATGCCATGTCTGCATGGTGTGTCTCCCCCACCTTCCGTGGGGCACCTCGGCTTAAACCTGTCAGGGCCTCCACATGCCGGTTTACAACACTATCTGTTTATTGTACCGGCCTACTTATTGATTTGGCAGCTTTATATTTGTATTCCTTAATTTTTGCAGATCTTTATATATTCTAGGGATCAGTGTTTTCTACATATCAACCCCTGCCTGTGACAGAGCTGACTGAGGTTCTCCCGTTCTGTGGGTTGTTTGTCCTCTCTGAAAGTTTCCCTTGCTGTGCTGAAATGTTAATTCTATGCATTTCCATTTGTCGATCCCTGGGACTTTCTGTGCTACTGGAGTCTTGTTCAAAAAGTGTTCAAGTCTGGTCACTATGCTCCTCTCTAGCAGTCTGAGTGTCTCAAGCTTTAAATGAAGGTCTTTGACCCATTGTGAATTGACTTTTGGGCAGAGTCAGTGATTTCTGTACATCATCAAGTTCATTTTGGATCATGGCAGACAATGTAGATAAATGGCCAAAACTAACTACATCCGTATGTTCTGCTAAGGGAGCCCTACCAGTGCTGGTTCAGCACATTGTGATTCTCAGTGCAGTTCATGACACTGTTTGGAGGAAAAGAACTGATTTTAAAAAGTAGCGGTAGCACAACATAGGCAGCCTCCCTCGGATATAGTTGACTACACTCTCATTTTGCCTTGTTTTTAGCAGATTGCATTAAAAAGCATAATAGAAATGACATCGGCTTTGCTGAAAGAAAAATGAAGAAATTTCACAGGATTATCATGGGAAACAGAATGGAATAAAATACACAGTTTTTTAACAGCCATAATAAATACAGAAAATAGCAAAGAGACAATTTAATGATTTTTAAAACTCATCAGAAGAACACATTCTATGAATCCCCTAGTCAAATAGTATGTATGCTGAGTAAATCTTCCCTTCTCCTGCTTATGTGAGTCTAAAAGTTATTGATTTTCTGGTTTCTATTATAGAGTGGCTGTAATATTGGGTCCCCTTTTCAATATTTTAGATTATATGGTGTTGCTCTAATTTTTAGGTTCCATTAACTTTCATGGAGCATCTATTTTTAAAATTCCTTTCGGGTTTGCCAGTTGCAAAGTAAAGAGAACCCGAGGCTCTATGCTTTCTCAGTTTTATTGTGTACCTTCCTATGTAAGTTTCCTTTGAAACTCTGCTTCTCTGGTCTTGGAACTTGTAAAAGAAACACCAGCTATTTTCTTAGCAATGTTAATTATATAAGATGGATCTCAAAAAATTCCAGGAAGCCAATTATGAACAATGTAAGCTCTTAGCCAGAAAAACCTTTCACCCAAAAGGAAAAATGGAGACTGTGAGATTTCCATTCTTCAAAGAAATAGAGTTAAAATAAGGTTGCTGAGTTTTCCCAGAAAAACTATAACAGGGACCATTTACGATATATCATTTTATCGATACCTGTGGTTGTAATCTTCAAGGCCCCATTCCAGACCAGGATGCAGTGGTGAGGACGGCGGTACTTCACTCTCGGCCCACCCGTCATTGGGAGGCAGTAGGTCTATAAACAAGGAACAAATGAAGCTGTAGTGAACCAGAGGGAGAAGGATTCAGTGCCTACTTTTGTTTCAGACACATAAACCAGCTTTGAAATCAATAAAGCTTCACCTGGAATGGGAGGTCTCACATGAACGCTCCCTGGCTGAGATGAACTGTGCCTTCTAGAGTATCTATGGGTATGACCCACTCACTGACCACTATGACAAATAAATCCACACATCTCAACGACCTTTAGTTACCCGTGAAAGCCTGGTGCTTAACAATATCCCTGATCTGTAGGCGACTCACAGAACATGTCTTTTATATCTTAATATTTTTATAATTATGGCTTCATAATGACTACTCTGAATTATAATTTAGGCATTTACCTGAGTGAGAAAAAGTACTGAAGAAGATGCCCTGAGACCCTGTGTACTGCTCATTGTTTAGACAAAGCAGGAGGAAAATATCCACTTTTTCTATCTGTGCCATAAAATCTTATAAGCCAAAGACTGGAGTCTGAATTTGGGGTTTCCTACTGAATAAAACATGGCATTCTTCTACAAGCTATTCAGTAGTGGAAAAATAACACGCACCCTGATCATCACTGTTACCAACAAGAAGTGAGTTCTGATGAGACATTGTGGGTCAGACATTGTGCTAACCATATTGTTCATTCTGAACATTCCTTCCTTTAATACAACCACAAAATTAACGAAGGGTGCAAAGAACTGTAGGTTGTATCCTTTCCCCTAAATGTCCCCCAAAAGCTTCTTGACAGGCTATTAGAATGAGCCTCTCTGGACCTTAATCACTACAAAACATTCTTCTTCCATCAAGCTGCACAGTCTATGATGTCTGTCTTCACCCATTAACGTTTACGTTTGTGCATTAGCAGCGTGAAATAAGTCGTGGATCACATCTATTTTTGTGAAGACAGCTATTTATTGAGCTATCAAGCTGTAATCTACTCATCCACATTTTTCTAACTGAAGGTAACTTCTTCCTTGTCTTCTCTGTTGTCTCTTCTAAAGCCTCTTTTCAGGATTTTTATAGAGTCTTATTATAGCCATCACCTTAACTTTTATTGCATTCCTAGGTCCTAGCTGTTCTTCTTAGTGTGGTGACAGGAGCAGAGGCAGACATCATGTTGGGTGACTGTGTACAACAAACTCAGACCCTGTACGGACTTGTCTTCTCGTGACCCTGACACCTTCGTTAAGCTTTGTATCAGGTATGCAAGTGCAGAATTCTAATCTTATACAAATAATATTTTTAGATTTAACTGACTATGTGAGTATACTCCTAATACACACACACACACACACACACACACACACACACACACACACACACACACCTGTGAATGTTGACAATGTGTCTTCTAGTCACTAAGTTATTGTTGGCTAAATGGCCCTCTTTAATTATCATATTATGTTTTTTTGTTTTGTGGAATCCATAGAGTCAAGAATAGCTGAGAAGTGGATAAACAACAATAACAACAACAAACCACCACCACCACCAACAACAACAACAAAAACACCAGGACTTTAAATATGACAAGAAAGCTATGGCCCTGGTCTGAAATGAGCCCAATATTTGGCATTTAAATAAAGTTTTGTTGAAAATAGCCACACTCGTTTATTTGCACACATACTGTAGTTGTTTCTGCACCACAATGGCCAAGTTTAGAGAGCTTGATGACCCCACCTTACACTCTTCTTGAGGGTAATGATAGTATTGTGGTATTGTACACATGTCTGTTTCCTGATAGTATTTGACAACACAAAGGTATTCAATCAACGCTAGTGCAACTAAGAAGGAGAATTCAGTTTCCAGTCAGCACTGCAGAGTGCCTCCTGCTGTAGAGTGAAGGATGCACTCCGACTCATACAAACACAAACACTGGGGGAATTTCATGTTTTCTTCCAAATCCTCCAGGGGATTTGGGACAGGGCACAAAGTGGAAATCTTTGATTTGAGGTAGGGAGGAAAGACCTAACTAATGGATGACTGGAAGGATTTGGGCAGTGGGTCACCTCAGCGTCACCTGAGTGGAGGAGATAAAGCAGGTAGAGAGTGTGAAGGTGAGCAGGACAAGGGGAAGAGAGCGAGAGCTAGAGTTGGGATGTGCTGAGGCTCCCTCCGTCAGCATGAAGTCCAGTGTTGGTGCACGCTATGACTCTTCCGATGCCTAGCCAGCTTACAGAAAGCCCCAGGGACACAGCCTCCATTCCACTGTTATCCTGGAGCACCCCACTTCCTCCACAGGAGGCCCAGCTAACAGTTTTCCAACACAAATGTGAATTTTCTGGTGTTCCAATTTTACAAATGTTATTCTAAAAATTCCTTTTCTGTGTAACAGCTTGAAGAGAATAAAAAATAAAATACGGAGCAAACTGTGGGCAGTATGTACTATTATTACCAAATTAGATGGAACACAGTATATCAACACTGCAGTCTTAAACATACAAAGAAGAGGAAAAGGGGAAGGCAGAAAGTTAATGTTTTGGCTGTCCCAGCTTCCCCACTCACTAGACATTACATTTTGTCAAGTTAACTTAGTTCTGCTAAAAGAAGCCCTTTTAAGTCAGTTGTGGTTAGGCCACTATCATACTTCACAAGTCTCTGTGGCATGTAACACCTTCACTGGCTCTGAAACTCAGGCCCTCTTGGAATTTCTCAAAGTGCAAAATGTTAAGACTTGAAGAGAGGCAATGGACATGATGAGAGCAGCATGATGGTATTTTAATCCTAGGATGTCCATAGACTCTCTAAGTCAGTTGACTTCCATGAATAGTAAGCTTATCACCCAGCCTTTCACTGAAAATGCAATGAGTCCATGCTATGAGAAGCTGAATTCAGGCAACCTGGGAATGTGGTACAGACACACAAGGATCTAATAATAGATAGACTTTATTTTCTTCAAGCAAACAATGTTTTATTTCTTAAGAAGCTTAGGATGCAGCCTGTCCTCTGCTACTATCTTAGAGCAGCACAGTACTCCACAGTGGGCATTACCAGAAATTGTCTAGCACAGATGGGAAAGGTCTTGAAGGAGCTGGGATTTTCATACTAATCTGGAAAGTCAGGGTGAGAAATGAAGCAGGTACCTGGCAGGTCACTGGTTAGTGGGTTTATGGTTTGTTTGTTGCTGTTGTTGTTTTCTTTTTATTGGCATAAAACTTGTTCTATCCACATTTATGTTTTAGAAGGAAGAGAACATACAAAAAAATCTTCTCAGAGATTATCTGTGGTCACTGTAATCAAAGGAATCACTTTTTCACTGCAGACATAAAGCAGGAAGAGTTCAAAGGATGCTCCTGTGTTCTACAGAGAAATTCTCTTCCTTCCCTGCTCTGTGGACAGTGGAACTGAAAGTCTCAAGATCTGTCAAGAACACACAACTTACTTAAGGTAAGCCAATACATACTGAGTAATTCCTTTTAACTAGTTACAAGGAAGAGTCAGCATTTCATAGGCATTCTTAGGACCAAGTAGAAAGACTTCAGTAGTTACAAGGGAACAATACTAGGCAGGGCCTTTGCTGTGGCTGAGATGAACCAAAGCCAGGTACAGGAATTGAATCCAGGCTCTGGGTGTATCAAATATGCATAGTCTTAGGTAAATTATTTATTCTCAAAGACCTTCTATATCTTCACCTGTAAAATGAGGCTAATAATATGAAACACTTTGAATCTGAACATAAATTACTTAACAACATACCTAACAAACAGCAAGTACTTAAAATAGAAAACTTTCAAAGGAACTAGTGCCCCCAACATCTCATTCAGATGAAATAGTTTTATGCTCAAACAATCTCAAATTCAGAAGTCCATTCTGATATAATAACATCAGAGTTTGAGATTTGTTCCTGTGACACTATAGTTTGGTGATATCTTAAGCTTCTAAAAAAAATACAGGATCAATGCTATAATGTTTATTACATCCACTGAATAGTAGAGCATGCCACCACTGCATGGGAGGCTATAGAATTTAGTGATACATAAGATACTCATCACGTGGTATCAATTGAGGAAAAAAAATTCTTAGAAATTGCATATAGTACATTTCATTTTACTTTCATTTTATGTATACATATTTGCATGAAGAGAGGACTTGAAAGATCTACATAAAATGTTATTGATTAGGAGTTATGATAGAGGAATGAGTAATATTAAATTTTCTTTTTAATGCTTTCCCTTAAAATTTCTACAATGAATATGTATGTATTGCTTTTGCAATATAAAAAGTAAAAGCTATTAGAGAAAGGAGAAAGAGGGAGATAAAACAAGTTTCCGAGTGACCTGGAGTGTAAGCTTGAAAGAACAATGGAGAAAATCCAGGAGTCTACTTGAAATGTGATCCATTCCCGTAATCAAAGGGTGTGTCATCAGACAACAAGAGCAGTCCAGCTGCCACGCCGATGGCCCCACACAGCGCTGTTCCACTATTCATCACACTCATCTTGGAACCAAGCACAGAGCTTGGAGTCACATCGTGACCACTCTGTGGTTGCATGTAAATCCATGCGTCTAAAGTGACTTGGTAACTTTCAATGATTCAAAAGATCTTCCCAAAACTCACAGTTTGCCATCTTTGATTCTCCACTCGTGGTTTGTTTTATACAAAATCCTCATGTTTGGGGCAGCAAGCACAGAAAACTGTCACTTCAACTGGAAACCTTGCCAGGCATCTGATTCACAAGTTCCAAGTCAGCGCTCTCACCCACCCCCCAGCTCTCCTGACTCTGAGTGACAAAGTCTGCACTTTGCCTAATTAACTCGCCTTTGTCCCTGATACCTTCCCCTCTTCTCGGGGAAAAGCCACTTTTGTGGTTTTGTGCGCTCAGAGGATGGAACGGGAGAGACTTTACCTTTTCTTTTATCTTGTGGACTGTAAGTGCCAAACGGATACAATACACTACTATCATTTCGCCTGGAGGTGCTCGGAGCTTCTTGACAGTTCTCAAAACACGGTCTGGAAAGGGCCCCACACTCTGCAAGCCCCTGAGGGACAGAAACGAACATTACATTTTAAAAATACATCCCAACTTGGACAGTTGAAGCAGGGTGCCAGAGTGGTCCTTGTCCGAATCCTCTTCCGAGTTGCAAGCATGTATTACCTTCAATTGTGAAAAAATCTAAATGGCCCTGTCTGTTCAAACATCTTTCAATAAGAAATAAACAGCCCGGACAATGTAGTGTTAAGGATTATGAGTGCTGATAGCCAACACAAAAGAGGATTAACTTTATTATTCTTTCCCCCCACTTACAACTGCCTTCTTTCAAATTTTCTTCCATCTGGGAGTACAGCTTGTAGCAGTGTCAATATGAGAATCCAGTTCATGCCAAGGGTGTTTCTCTGCCAACCAGCTGGTTCCTCTCTCCCTCTGCCACTCTTTCTCCCCAGATAAGTGCATATGCTCCAGGACAAGTCAGAACCCAAGCAGTATTTGTCACCAGAATGCCATGATTGTGTCCTATGCAGACCCCAGGCTTTGGCCAGATGCTAAAGTAGATAGCTGTGACAGGGCCAGACAGTGGTTCTCCCTGGGGTCTCTTTTCTTCCATATTTCTCTTTCCTCTTTGGATTCTGACAGTCTGTAAACAAATCCACAGTTTTCTGCAAACTGCTGTATCCAGACTAACACCCCACAAACCGTCTTCCCCAGGTGCTGAAGAGGTAACAGGAGGCAGCTGATGACTGAGAACTCAGTTATGTTTTCGAGCGGCTTGTGGCATAGCGGGCTGTCTTTTGCTCCTGTTCCTATTATTTGTCTCCCTAACAGATTTCAGGGAAATAAATGATTTGGAAGTCATTCCATAGCTCTCCTCTTGGCCATTTGTGAGAGGCACATGTCGCAAACACAGATCTACTCCCCAAGCTCCCTCCTCCAGGAAAGCATTTGGCTGAAACAATGCATTTGATTTTACTTTTTCTTCTATAGTTACGAAAACTCAGTGTCTAGCTAAACAAAATATTTGAAGCATTCACTTCTATTCTGTGTCCTAAATAATTAAAATGCTTTCAGCTGCAGAGGCTATTAGCTTTTTGTGAGGGCTTCTAACAGTTCTCCCACACTTAACCACGTTACCCTTGGCTGCTGTGGTGCTGGTCCAACCGAAGCAGGTAGAGGAGACCAGTGAGTCCCAGGTTAAAGCGGGAGTCCCAGCAGGCAGGCCGAGGTAGGACCTGTCTTGCCTTGTGTTTTCAATTCACAATAACAACAAGAACAAAAACAATTTTTTCTGCTTTCCTAGCTCTTTGATAAATGACACAATCAATATCCCAACAACTGATCAGTAACCAGGCTAATTAAAGCATCCAGCATGTAAAATAGAGCTGTCGTGGAGGCCTCCATTAGTGTCCCAGCCAATAAAAAATATAATGGATTTTTAAACATGTGCTGCCTCTGTGAAGATGAGCTGCAGCAGGGAAGAAAGTGTTTGGGGAAAGAGAAAAACAAAACCAGGTCATAACCCATTTTTAAATACCAAGTCTCTAGGCGCAAACAGCATCACAATTCAACCTGAAGCTCATCCTTTGAAAAACATGCTTCTGTTCAAAATGATTCTGATTCAATCAAGGGCTCATTATGTAGTCTTCCTGAGGTTCTCATCAAAACTGTTTACCTATCTTGTACAACTGGGTAATGTGGGGGAGAAATAACAACTTTATATTTTGACTTTTCTTAAGTAGCGTCTTCATTTCTTTTCAATATCGGTATAATGTTCCAGCAATTACGCTGGCATTCTTGCCAAATCTAACTAATTGATTTGCCCTGATGTCTGAGCAGTGCTTAGACCTCCTCTGGGTTATGGATGCTTTTCTATGGACCAGAAGGCACTTGCTGCTCTGTGGGAGAATAGAGCAAAAGCAAGTGTGTACTGCATACACTGTGCACAGCATACGCATGACACAGAGAGGCAGATTCAGGAGACCACATAGCTGTTTTTTTATTATTTAATAAAGATAAGCTGTATATTAGGCTTCTGTCTTTATAAGGAATAGACTCTTTAATCTTCATGGCTACCACAAAGATTTTCTATAGCTGAGAGTCAAGTGCCTGCTTGTTCCCCATGGAAAGCATGTAAATATTAGGGAAAGAAAATGGATCTTTGTTTAAACGTCCTCATAAAAATTGCTTTTTGTAAGAGTTCCAGTTCCTGATCGATCCTCTGAGAAACTATATTAACAAGACACATCTGAGGATGAGTAATGAACAGAGAGTTAATACTTTCTTCTGATGGGATAACGCTGATCCCATTCCACTCTGGAACTAAAGATAGAGACACTGCTCTAAAGAAAAAATGCCAATGCAAAGTATCCCAACTCCATGGGCCAGGGCATCACATCCACCCACTCCTTTCACAAGCATTTTAGAGAGAGACATGAAATGAGGGACAAGGGAAGGTAAAGATATCTCTAAGTCTATTAAAGCCATATTCATTCTTTTCTCTTTTTGTTTAGTTTTTGGCCCCTGTGTGAATATGGCGCTCCAGCCATATTTCCTTTCTTTTCTCTTAGTTGAGGTACCTTTGTTAAAGGAAATATTAAAAGGAAGCTATAATATGAAGATATACAACAAGGGGTGACTGAGACCTCCCTTATGCTGTCCTTCACATCACTCTCCAATAAGTGGGTTCCTTGCATCCCAGGACTTTATAGGAAGGACCAAATTACACCAGACAGGCCCTTTCCTCATGCTAGGAGGCAGGAGACGAGGACATTCAAACTATGTACATAAGTGAAGCCATTAAATATTCATGAAGACTCTGTCACTTAACCAGATGCACATGTGGAAAACAAGCTCATTCATTATATATAGTCTCCAGTAATTGGCCAATTTACATTTATTTAACATCTACAAGGTTATGTTCAAAAGATCATAAAAGGTACAGTTACTCTTTCCCAATAGTTGATAATCTAGCAAAGGAAGAGATGGTTTATCATTTCCCTACTCAAGACCACCCTGTCAGATGAAGCAGGTCTCACATGCAGCTTTTCCATTCCTTTAGCAGCATTTATTGGGAGCCAATCACATTTGGAGAAATAAAGCTCCGACAGTGGATAAACCAGGTACCAGAATCTATCTTCGACACATCAAGCACTCACACTAGCTGTGGATTTTCATGGTCCGGAAGAGCAGATTGAGGATTTTAGTGCAAGTGGTCCATATACAACACAGGGAGCCCCACTGACATATATTTCATTTAGATAATCTTTTATTTTTTAATTTTGGTTGAATTTACTAAATCGAATATTTGATATTAGTTTTCTAAGTAGTCTATACTCTAACTCTATCTAAAGTTGTACTACAGAAACATATTTTGGCCTTAGATATTATCCTAATATGATGATGTATGGTGTGTTGATATTTTTGTTAATTTTTATGAACTTACTCATTTTTCCTGAAGTAATTTTTAGGAATATTTAATACTTAATCTTTTAAAATATTGTTATAGATCAATTTTATTTATATTTTTATGTAAATAAAATGTTTTGGTATATCAGCATTTAAGAATTATTTTATACTCCTTTTACAATATATTATTTTATACTATATTATTTTACATGTAAGGGTCATATATAAGTGGACATTTTCCTGACATTTAAAAAGCACAATCAAATATTTAAAAAGAAATAAGACTTTTATTTACTTAATAAAATAAAATAAAATTCTTAACAAATCAAACTTTAACTTACTTTCACCTCAGGTCTGTATTATCTAAGTGTAGATATTAGGGGAGAATATAGAGATCTGATTATATCATAATAATTTTCACATTAAACACTATATATACCCATCCAATGAGGAACTTACTAAGGTACAGGCATTGCTAGCATATCACCAAAAGTTATATTAAGAAGGATGTTTTCTAAGTTAGTTCAGAACCCTAGGAATTTCTGAACATAAGTCCTAGTAAATACAGACCTGTGATATTTGATAAATGATTTATTTTATATGCATATTTTCATGCTTTTTATTGTATCTAAAATATACAACCACCTGTTTCTTTCATACATCCATCAGAGCCTGTCTGGGGCATATTTCTCCAAGTATAGACTCAATAAATGTTTATCTACCCCATGAGTGATTGAGTCTGGATATTCTGGTGGCCAGCAATTTTCAGCAAAGTCAAGAATGTTATCACCTCCAGTGGTCTCTCTGGCCTCCTCAGTATCACCAGCTGGATCATGCCCCGGATGTTTCCTTCCATGGACATTGATCTCCTCAGCGTTTCCATGGCATCATGGTTGGACTTGCCCAGAAGAGTTTCCCCATTAACAGCAACCAGTTGGTCATTCATTCGCAGACGGCCATCCTGAGGCAGAGAGGAGAAAACAGTGTGAGACAGGAAGCTGTTTGGAGAAAAGTTCAAGTACGAAGATGAGACAGTCAGAAACGTGAACCTTAATTCTTGGGGATGATCTATTTTCAATGGCAGGAAGAGGTTCTGGAGCTTATCAAGCAGTCACAAATACTAACAATTGTGATCTGTGTGAAAGGAGCTATTTTTAGAAATCTTAGAGTCCCGAGCTGCAATAACTTAGACATTTCTGATGGTTCTTATCTAAATCTCTGTCTGGCAAGCATATGAATCATATGCTCTGCTTTGGCAAAGACCCCGTTGGGACTCGAGGAATCGGGGTTAAGAAACAAAGCCTGTAGCTATCTGTCTCTCACAAAGAGGGCAAGCATTTTCAGGCAAGGAGAGACATGCTTAAGAGCTGTGTGCTTGACAGCATAGTGTCCCTCGTAGATACCATTGCTAGTCCTATTGAAGGGAGAGAACAGATTCCTCATATAATTTTCTCTAACTCTAGTACAAACTTACTCATCAACTAGAAGAAAACAGATGTGTGTAGTGAAGGACCAATTTGTCCTAATAACTTTGGCAGGAGAGCTTGACAAAGGGAATTGTCAGGCTTTTTTTTCTGGGATATTCAGGCTACTAAATACTTTCACCCAGAAGAGACACCATTTACCACTAAAGCACCAGGACCCCTGATGTGTGGAGAGTCAGCCTCACCTATCTTTCTATCATTCAAGGTGATTCATTCAGAAGTCATCTTCAGCAAGAAGCCTTCCGTCAGTGGTGTCTCCAGCAGTGGCCAATAAACTTGGAGACCAGCTCTTCAGGAAGACAATTTGGGCAGAACACAGGACATCCCCTCTCTAGGAAGACGGGGGTGGTGGGGGTGAGGGTGGGTGTGGTGAGGGGAGGGAAGAATGGTGCTTACAGTGTTTATAGACTGGAGACTGGAAAGTGTCCTATGCTACTTGACACTCAGAAAGCCACACGGTTCATATCTAATTAGAATCCTGTCCTGCTTCTGATGTTAATACAGTCAACAGAAATAGGTGTAGGTATGCCTAGTAATTTACTTTTCCAGAGATTTCTTCTGTTAACTGCCTCCTGCAATACTCACAGACCCAACAAGTTAAGGAGATTTGTGTTTTTATGAAGTTTTCCACAAAAATAATCAAAACTAGGGAATTACAACTATAACTTGTCACTATAGCATATCAGATAAGACTCACTCAAGCTTTGGTTTGGTGAACTTTGGCCCTTCAGCCCCTCTTCTTGCTGCCTATAAGCTATAGTTGTATAGTGCTTAACTAAATGCAAAAGAATTCTTGCCAGGAGGTGGTTGTGCATGCCTTTGTCTCAGCACTTGGGAGGCAGAGGCAAGCAGATCTCTGTGAGTTCAGTGCTAGTCTGGTCTATAGAGTGAGTTCCAGGACAGCCAAGGCTACACAGAGAAACCCTGTCTTGAAAAATCAAAATCAAAATAATAATAATAATAATAATAATAATAATAATAATAATAATAATAATAATTCTTGTAGTAAGATGTATCTGGAAGTTCAAATGAGCACAATGTAATGCAAAAGTAAAAAGAGGGAAAAAAAAAAAAAAACCTCCCTGAGAAACGCTCAGAACAGACACACAGTGAAGACTGGAAGTGAGTCACTGAGCCTCAGAAAGAAAACCCGAGGTCTAGTTGATAGGCCTGGACTAATACAAGGGCAGATGGCCAGAGGAATTGTCCCTAAGGAACAGGGGAAGAGAAGGCATGACAGCTGTTGGTCTAGAGAGCATTTAGAGACGTCCTACACATCACGTGGTGGGTGGAGTCTTGGCAACACAGGGCTGCAGAGCCCACCCGAAGGAGTCCATGCTCACTGAGAACAGCAATGAGATGCCAAGGCACTGGGATCAATAGAGAGTATGTAGGATCAGATACAAACTGCTCAGAGGCCTGCCTCAAGGGGACTTAATGTCTCTTCCCTCTGGCTTTGGAACTTCACTTAACCTTTACCCTAATTTACCAAGAAAGAAATCTCCTCTTTTCTGCTATCCAATTGTGAATTAGGCACACAAAGAATAGGATTAAGCCTCCGTGAAATGGTGAGATGGGTAAAACAACCACAGCCTTAATGGTTTAGTCACATGAAAGGAAGCACAGCTGGATCTGTTCCAATTTGTCATATGATGCGGGGAGGACCATTGGGCTGAATCTTGTCACTAAAATTCTCCTACCATGACTGGAAGCTGATGTGCAGATTTTAAAGATGAGGAGGAAGGAGAAGAGTTGGATATGGACACGGGCACTGTCATCAGGAAATGAGCCAGTTAAGATCTACAAAGGTCTGTCAACTGGGAGGACACCTCATCCACTACGACAGGAAGAGGGACAATAAAAACTGAAGGAATCTGAGAAAGAATTTAATGAGAGGGAAGATGTGAGAAGAAAACAATTGTACATAAAAGCTAATACCAACAGCTATTAACATGAACTTATTTCCAGTTGCATTCTAGTCTCAGCCGTCTAGAATACATTCAAGTAGAATATGTTTACTACAGTCAAGTACAAAACAGAAAGACAGGTCAGGTCTTTCTCACCCCAGGGCCTCTAGATTTTTTTTTTCTGAGACATTCACATTCATCACATGTGTCTCTAGAGAGTTGTGGTCACAATAAAAATCCACATACTCTCGTTTGCAGGAGTGGTTGTCCTCTTGCTATTGGTGTGTGCTTCTTGCTCATAAGATAAATGATGGATAATTTCATTAACGGTAATGCCAGGAAGACCACATTGTCTTAACATTTAGAATACCATCACAGAGCTCTGGGCTTAGAAAGGTCCTCAGAGGTCATGTGGTCCAAACTCTTCCATTTACAGATGAATAATACAATGCTCCAAGAAGACGAGGCATCGTTTATCTACCACCTAGTAAGAGAAGCCACTTCCATATGTATTAGAACTGGCTTGGCTAGTTAAGATCAAGGTTTGTAAAGAACAGAAGAGTCTACGTCTTGAATTCACTAGGATTTCCTAACTATATGAATAATAGTAACTCATCCCCAGAAGGGAATTGCTTCATGAAAAGACTTTCAAAACCAGTGAAGGCCACAGGTAACTGTTGGAAGAAAACAGTATTTGAAATCTAGGGAAATACTCAGATTGCATGGACATAGGAAAGTATAGGAGATGCTTGGGAGCAAACTGGAGAAAAAGGAAAAGTCTGCCTTCTAACTACATGTCCCTTTAGACACCATCTAAAATGAAGTTGCTTGAACAAAGAACTTGCTACTCATTCAAACATATTCCTGAAAATCATGACTATCTTTCACTTTGAAATAATTTTCACCAAAAAGTTAGTTTTCTATGATATTTTTCTATTAATATTATGTTCAGGTAGATATGTGGGCATGATGGCAAAAACCCACAACTTTATACGCATGGATACAAATATCCATGGATGCTACTTAGCAATTTTAGCATGCCTATTTCATCACAATCTGGGTCACGCTTGCTTATGCTTTTCAAAGGAATAAATCTTGGGTTTTGAAAGATAGCTCAGAGGGTAAAGGCACTTGGAATGTAAGCCTGGTGACATGAGTTCAGTTCCTGCAACCCACAGAAAGGTGGAAGGAGAGAACCTACTCCCCCAAGTTGTCCCCTGGCTTCTACATGTGTGTCATGGCATGTGTGCTTACATATACAGGCAGCAAACACACATGTGCTCACAGTAACAATAGTAAACAAATAAATAATTTTAAAGACAAAGGAAACCTTTCTTCCTATCTTGCTATCAACAGAACACTAAGCAAAAGACCCAGTCCTTACCTTTGGCACCCAAAGCAATGTTGAAGAGAGGGGGAAACAGGGGTAAAAGCGAAGAGTGACTTCCTCAGGGTACTTTAGTGCAGACACGAAAAACTCACATGAGGTATAAGTCTCTCTCTTGCATGTGCCTGGGAAGGCTTAGAAAGTCATCAGTTCTCACCACTTATAGTAAAAGGAGGGATCAAAGGCTCACAGACCAGATGCATGAGTATTACATCTCCCTTCTGCAGAATATCTGTGGAAGCATTTTGTGTGACTTCTTCTAATCATTTCTTCCAATGACCTTGTGATATAAACATTACTTCCTACTATATAAGGATGTAAAGACAGAGGATTAATTGATTTCAAAAGGGTCTTAGCATGGCCAGTTCTTATCTCTCCTCTCTTTTCTTTGAGACAAGGTCTCAGCTTGTAGAACAGGCTGATCTCACTATGGGACTCATGATGTAACCCAGGCTGGCCTCAAACTCACAGCAATCTTGCCTTGCCCCTCCAGTGATAAGGATAGGTATGAGCTCCTATTGTGCTATTTTGATTCCAAAATCACATTTCTAGAAATGATTAAGGGTACTAAAATATTAATAAAATACCTTATAAGTTTCTACTGTGTAGTCATTATGCTTAAACTCTCTCAATGCATGAGATAATTGAAACCTTACGATAACACTACCTTTTTTTTTTAAGAAGAAATTGAGGCTGAAAGGGGTTGGATGAATTGTTACTAGTCATGTTCTGGGAGCAGATCTGAACCAGGTCTGGGTCACTCTGGAGTCTTGTTTTCAGCCCATTTGCTAATAATCCTTAAGCTTTATGGGTTCTTGGATCTCTCTGAGAATCTAATCAAAGTTATGGATCCTAGTCTCTACAAAGCAAATATTTATACCAGGGTTTCTCTGCAATGGCACATTTGGACCAGATAATTCTTTGCAATAAGGGGCTGTCAAGTGTGGTGCAGGATATTTCATGTGCCCCCCATAGAACTGCAATGACATCCAGGGACTCCCGTGACCTAGCTCAGCTCCTAGTGCTCAGCTCTTGAGTAACCCCTGTTTTGAACTAGTGATGAAACATGGCTCCATGCACTTCTGTTAGTCTGTTTGTCTAAAACCCCTCCATGTAGGATTGGAGTGATGCTAAGGTAAAGAGCAGGACTCTGCATAATCCGAGAGAAGCAAGGGAGCTGTCT